AAGCTTAATAATAGCATGCAATGCCAAGCTGTGGTTTCTAAAGCGAGCAAAATCCTTTATTGTATTAAAAGAGGAATAGACTCCAGAGAGAGAGAGAGAGATCATTTTGCCCCTGTATAAATCATTAGTAAAACCTCATCTGGAATATGCAGTTCAGTTTTGGGCACCAAACTGATAAGAGGCATGGAGGAGGAAAAGATTAGAGGAACTGAATTTATTCACTCTTGAGAAGAGGAGATTAAGGGGGATATGATCAACATGTATAAATACATCAGTGGTTCATTTAGTGAACTCGTTGAAGAGTTAGGTCATCACAGAGGACAAGGGAGCACTCTTTATGTCTGGAGGAAAAGAGATTTAATCTCCAAATATGGAAAGGTTTCTTCACAGTAAGAGCTGTGAAAATGTGGAATAGACTCTCTCAAGAGTTGGTTCTGGCCAGCTCAGTGGATTGCTTTGAAAAAGGCCTGGATTCTTTCCTAGATACGCACAATATAACTGGATACCAACATTTATAGGTAAAGTTGATCCAGGGAATATCCGATTGCCCCTCGGGGGAATAGGGTATAGAATTTTAACTTTTTTTTTAACTGGATAGACTTTTGTCTCGTTTCAGCCAGACTATGTAAATATGTAACTATGCAATGGGAACAAGGACATAAAAGAAATAGAAAAAAAGATTATTGTTATCCATCCAGCAGATAAAACAGATTATGGCCAGGAAATGGAAATCAGAGTACCTATAAAAGCTGGCAAGTGACAGCAGCAAAAAGTAGAAAGAGTAACTGAGAGAGCTGGAAAAGAAAGGGGCATAAAGTAAGATACTAAATAAAAAGGAGACCATGTACCTAGTAAGATCCCAATAATCTATCAGTTACCAAAGGTCCATAAGAATAAACTAACCCTCTGGGCAGGCCCATTGGAGTGGACTGGAGTCATTATACTCGTGATTTGGTGAGTATTTAGATATATACTTACAGCTGCTGGTTAGTAAAGGGCTTTCATATATTAGCACTAAAAAAACCTTATATCCCAAATAAAAGGATTTAACACAGGTGATAGCTGTATTGTGGCACTGGTGGATGTAGAATCATTATACACCAATATTAAACAAAAGGATAGGTTGGAGGCAGTGGAATAGGACCTAAGTCATAATTCTGACTTAAAAAGACCAAAGATAAAGTTTATTATGAATGCACTACAAATGGAAGGAAATTATTTTTTCTGGTACCACAACCAATTTTATAATCAGATAAAGGAAGTGGTGATGGGTGTCAAATATGCCCCAAGTGTGTGGTCCCAATTGAGGTTATAGAAAAGATATATTAGTGATATTTTGATTTTCTGGGAGCGTTGGAAGACTCATAAATGATAACAGATATGGCATACATTTTACAGGGAATATGCATGAGGAATATATACATTTCTTAGATTTGGCAGTATTTAAGCATAAACTGAAATTGCAAGAACCCACTTTAAGGAAAGAGAGGAACGGCTACATTCCCACAAGATGCTATGTCACCTTAAGTGGATCAAGGGAATATCAAAGCAGCAACTTATGCGAATCAAACGCAATTGTGATCTGGAGTCGGACTATGAGGCCCAAACTGATATACTGTCTAATAAATTTGCGGAACAGGGATATAATAAGGAATCCCTGGCAAGCACTTAAATAACAGTGAAGAATATGAATAGAGAACAACTATTGAAGGATAAGATATGGGACGCACTACCTTTTGATACAGCATTTATCACAGGATTTAATAAAAATGTTCATAATAAAACCACCCTAGAAACTTTAAGGAAAGAGAGGAACGGCTACATTCCCACAAGATGCTATGTCCCCTTAAGTGGATCAAGGGAATATCAAAGCAGCAACTTATGCGAATCAAACGCAATTGTGATCTGGAGTCGGACTATGAGGCCCAAACTGATATACTGTCTAATAAATTTGTGGAACAGGGATATAATAAGGAATCCCTGGCGAGCACTAAAATAAGAGTGAAGAATATGAATAGAGAACAACTATTGAAGGATAAGATATGGGACGCACTACCTTTTGATACAGCATTTACCACAGGGTTTAATAAAAATGTTCATAATAAAACCACCCTAGAAACTTTTTTTTTTATAGGATAGGTTTCTATAGATGTAAGAGATGCCTACCTTGCAGAACAGACAGATGGCAGGAGAAAAAGAGGGCGGAATTCCAATTCAATCATACGCAGAAACAGTAAAAAATAGATAAATTCTCCAAATCTCAAACCAATTGAGCATTTGTGGAATGTGCTGGAAAACAAGTACTATCTGCGGAGGCTCCACCTTACAACCTACAGGACTTAAATGACCTGCTACTAAAGACTTGGTGCCAGATACCACAACATACCTTCAGAAGTCTAGTGGAGTTCATGCCTCGAAAGGTTATAGTGGGTAGTCATAATCTTATGGCTGGTCAGTAAACTGTTCCTAACCACTTCAATACAGTGCACTTTTACCCCTTCCCACCCAGGCCAATTTTCAGCTGTCAGCGCTCTCACAATTTGAATGATACTTGTGTGGTCATGCAACACTGCACCCCAATTAAATTTTTATCTTTTTTTTCACACAAATGGAGATTTCTATGGTGGTGTTTAATCACCGCTCGGTTTTTTATTTTTTGCTAAATAAATGAAAAAAAACTGAAAATTAAAAAAAATACAAGTGTTTCTTCGTTTCTGTTATACAATTTAAAATTTAAAATAAATAATTGTTCTTCATAAATGTAGGCCAAAATGTATTCTTCTACATTTCTTTGGGGAAAATAACCCAAATTGCTGTATATTATTTAGTCTGTAGAAAAGTTATAGAGTCCACAAACTATGGGATATATCTGAAAGTCTATCAGTCCTGATACTGATGGTACTGATCTCATTTCTTGAGGCCCAGAAATGTCAGGACAGTTATCCCACAAATTAACCCTATTTTGGAAAGTAGACAGTCTGCAGTATTTAGTAAGAGGCATGGCGAGTTTTTGAAGTTGTAATTTTGTTTGCAGATTATTGCCATCACAAAGAAAGAGGATGTCACTGACAGAATCAACAAGTATTTTTATCAAAAGTGGAAGTATGAAAAGGAAAAAAAGAGACATGCACTGTTAGTGAAATGTATTGTGAAGAATTTAATTGTGATTTTCATTTTGGGTTTACTGACAATCTAAGAAGGATTTAGATGGTGGCATGAACACATGGTCACATGATCTTCATCCTTAGGGGTTAAAGCTGGAAATTCAAATCTAAAAATCTGTCTTTTTTTTTTTGCTCTCCCCAATAAACATTGCACAGAACATGATTAATATATTAATATTACCAGTCAGACACTAACTATATTTTAAATAGATCAAATTAAAACCACAGCATTTGTGAATTCCCTTTTACATACACATTACCACAGAGATTAATAATTTATGTACATGTAGTAAATTCATTAGATCAGTGTGATGAAACCTTTAGTTAATTAAAAAAAATCTTCCGCCATTTAAAATCATCTTTGATAGAAAATAACACATGGTAATATAAATAATGGATGTTTTCTATTTAAATTAATTGAAGTAATATACTATACACAGTAAAACTTCTTTAAAACAGACAAAGTTTCCTTCAAAGTCAATGATGTACAGCTTCAAGCCACTACTTATTACGGTCCAGTATCAACTCTTTTTTGGCACAAGTAACCCTTATGCATCCTTTGCCTCTTAAGCCATTTACATATAATGACATCACAATACAAGTATCCCACTAGTACAGGCATCACTAAATGGCGGACCGTAGTCCGGATGTGGACCCAGTCACTGTCCCAACCGGACTCATGCAGTGCTATCATTTTAAAGTCTTTTCTTCCCCCATCTGTCTCACGGTCATCCTCACAGAGCTGACAGCGAGAGGCAGGACAGTTCTGGATGAAGGGTGGGAGCTGCCCAAGATTAACAAGCAGGTGATTGGTTGCTAGGATGAAGGGCAGTCCTAGCAATCAATCACTCTCTGTCAATCACTGTTGGTGTAAGGTAGGACAGAGGGGGCAAAGTTAAAGGGGCTAAGGACATTAGTGTGAAGGGGGCCGAGGACTGAATGTGGGGGGGACTGAGGACAGTAATGTGGGGAGCTAAGGACTGTGCTGTGTGGGGGCTGAGGACAGTAAGATGGAGGGGGGGCTGAGGACAGTAATGTGGGGGCTGAGGACAGTAACATGGAGGGGGGCTGAGGACAGTAATGTGGGGGCTGAGGACAGTAACGTGGGAGAGAGAGCTGAGGACAGTAACGTGGGGGCTGAAGACAGTAGCATGGGGGTGGTCTGGGGACAGTAATGTGGGGGGATTATTTAAAAAGGGGCAGAGTACTCTTCAGTGAAGGAGGCAGAGGACAGTACTGTTGGGGGGGTTTGATGTCAAGGGGGAGCTGAGGACACTCAACAAGAGGGATCTTGCTGTGAATGAGGAGGGGACTGTGACGTGCAGTGGAGATTGAGGACACTGATGTGAGAACAGGTTCAGATCTGTACATGTGCATTTGATGCACACATTGTGGGTAGGTCATCACTACCTACTAGAAACCTGAAGAAGTCCTATTTTTCAAACTTGCACTACAGCAACACGTGGTTTGGCGCACATGAAAATGAACCACAGGGGCCTACATGAGATTCGGATTTCTGATGCGTGCAAATTTTACTGTCCAGACCTTGGTGAATTTTAATTCTGTGCTGGTACTGTGATCTGTCATTGCCTGTGTCAGGTGGACACAGCTGGCGACAGATCACGCCTGTGGCTGCATGGTTGAGGCATGTTCCAGTTGGACATCATATGACGTCCACCCAGAACAATGAAAGTCTCTTCTGGACGTCATTTTGCAATAGACCAGGTGGGATGTTGTTTAATCAGGTTAATTATACAATAAGCATCTACATTTCAGCTGCCAACAGAGCTAAATAGGTCAGAAGGAAGAGTTTGGAATACCTATGCATGCATACATTTATCCTAATTTAATGTTCTTTAGATATGACTTTATTGCCATCTTTACATCGTTGTTACGAAAACTATAAATAAGAGGGTTTACCACTGGTGTCACTACTATGTAAATAAGAGACAGTGCTTTATTCAGAATAAAGTCTGTGCTGACGCTTGGCCTGAGATAAACAAAAGCCACCGTCCCAAAGAATATGAGAACTACAGTAAGATGAGAAGTACAAGTGGAAAAAGCTTTACATCTATTATTGTTGGATGGAATTGTTGATATAGTCATTATAATGTAGGTCCATAGTGTTAGAGAGAAAGAAAGCAATACAATAGTGGAAGCTGTAAAAAAATTGAAAGTCTGAAGTTTGTTTGTGTTATAACATGATAACTGCAACAGTGGGAAAAGGTCACAAAAGAAATGTTGAATATTTTGGCCACAGAACTTTAAATTTGCGATGAATTTTAATTCTGTGCTGGTACTGTGATCTGTCATTGCCTGTGTCAGGTGGACACAGCTGGCGACAGATCACGCCTGTGGCTGCATGGTTGAGGCATGTTCCAGTTGGACATCATATGACGTCCACCCAGAACAATGAAAGTCTCTTCTGGACGTCATTTTGCAATAGACCAGGTGGGGATGTTGTTTAATCAGGTTAATTATACAATAAGCATCTACATTTCAGCTGCCAACAGAGCTAAATAGGTCAGAAGGAAGAGTTTGGAATACCTATGCATGCATACATTTATCCTAATTTAATGTTCTTTAGATATGACTTTATTGCCATCTTTACATCGTTGTTACGAAAACTATAAATAAGAGGGTTTACCACTGGTGTCACTACTATGTAAAATAAGAGACAGTGCTTTATTCAGAATAAAGTCTGTGCTGACGCTTGGCCTGAGATAAACAAAAGCCACCGTCCCAAAGAATATGAGAACTACAGTAAGATGAGAAGTACAAGTGGAAAAAGCTTTACATCTATTATTGTTGGATGGAATTGTTGATATAGTCATTATAATACGGATGTAGGTCCATAGTGTTAGAGAGAAAGAAAGCAATACAATAGTGGAAGCTGTAAAAAAATTGAAAGTCTGAAGTTTGTTTGTGTTATAACATGATAACTGCAACAGTGGGAAAAGGTCACAAAAGAAATGTTGAATATTTTGGCCACAGAACTTTAAATTTGCGATGATTAAAGTGGCTATCAAGTTTGGAAAAAAGCTTCCCATCCAAGAAGCCGTAACTAGATAACAACACACAGGTCGTCTCATGATGATGTTGTAGAGCAAGGGATTGCAGATTGCCGTATAGCGATCATAAGACATAACCGCTAGAAGGAAACATTCTGTTGAGCCTAAACAGAAGAATAAATAAAACTGGGTGATGCAGCCATTGAATGATATGATTCTGTTGTTTCCAATGAGGACAGCTAAAAGTTTAGGTGTTATGACAGATGTATACAGAATCTCTATAAAAGACAAGTTGGCTATAAAGAAATACATTGGACTGCTGAGATGCTTGTCAACACAGACCATGAATATTATGATTATGTTTCCAGTGACAGACAAAATGTACATGATCAGAATAATTCCAGACATACTCCACTGCCACTGAAATCCGGAAATCCTAGCAAAATAAAATCTTTAAAATGAATTGACATATTTTCATGGTTCTCCATTTGGAAGAAATGCTGCAAACAGAAATAAAATTATTACTACTGGTTTTAAATATGATACCCCATTTTTCATTGACCATAAAATAATCCTAATATCATTGCTGAATATTTCATTAACCCTTTCATGCATGAATTATAAAAGTCACAATCACAATCAGTGTTTTTATTACTCTTTGGCAGGACTTTTTTTCAGTTGGAACGCAAGAGAACACAGTTCGGGCACCTCCAGCACTGGATGTATGTAGTGTCAAGGGGTGCTGGGGTGCGTAGGAAGATCTATTGATGCAGGCTGCTGGAGCGTCTATTGTCGCTGGAGGGGATCTATTTTTGAGTGTGGTCTATTGTTGCTGGGGAGGGGATCTATTGTAGCTGGTGGGGGATATATTGTTGCTGGGGGGGTCTTATGGTTATGGGGTTCAATTGTTGCTGGGAGGAATCTACTGTTGAGGGAGAGATATATTGATAATGGTTGTTGGGAGATCTGTTGTTGCTGCTGGGAGTATATTGTTGCTGGGGTGGCTCTATTGTTGCTGGGGTAGTATTTTGTTGTTAGCCCATTGTTGCTGGGGAGTCTATTGTTTTCAAGGGGATCTATTGTAGCTGGAGGCGGCCTATTGTTGTGTGTGTGGGGGTCTATTGTTGCTGGGGAGCTCTGTTGTTGCTGGCTGAAGGGGATCTATTTTACTACTTTTTTGTTATCATTAACAAATTCCATGCCAATGATACTTGGTTCTGAATTCTCTAAAAAGGATGGTACTGGGTGGTGGGTAGGGGGTGGAACCAAGGGACAGTGCTTGGAGGTGAGTTGGGGGTGGAGACAAGGGGTTAGGTGAATCAGAAAGGGGGAGTTCCTTCACCTATTTTCTGAGAAAAAAAGCAATGCTCTTTGCCCATAAAAAGAAAATAAATTGACTTATTTAAATATTCCACTTTCTAAGGAGTTTTTTTCATGCATGCGCTTGAAGAAACAATGTAGATGGTATTTTCTCCACTATCCAATAGGACTTTTCTATCACACTCTGCACTTGAGATCTACAAAAGACAGTAACTATTAGGCCTCATGCACATTGGACGTTTTTAATGCTGCTACTAGGGGCATCTAGCTTTTTTTTTGTTTTGCTGCTAAATGCCCCTGCATGTTAGCCTATGTGTCCATGCACACATAAGCGTTTAGAGGAGTATAGAGGCAGGGGAGTTTAAAGGCAGAAAAAAATCCTCTGCCAGTGCATCCACGTTTTGGCTCAAAAAAGTGCTTGACGTGTTTAAATACATTAACGCTAGGCACGTTTAGCACGAGAGTCAATTCATTTCAATGCCAGAATGTATTGTTATTATGAAAAATTAAATGAATTAACACTTGATGCGCCTAAATGTGTTTCACATGTTTACAAGTGTATTTTAAGCCAAAATGCTGTTGCCAGGAGGCAAGGCGTCTACAACAGCTAGCAAAACATTGGGCATAATAGAAATGATCTGCACAAAGTGATGTTTTTGTTCCAAAAACTGTACATTCTGATAGCATAAATACATTGATTTACAGCCAAAAAAAGTTACTGAAACTGTATTGTTTTCAATAAAAGCAGTCCAAGTAATAGTATGAGTTGCAGCTGAAATATAACCAGTGATGAATGCTATCCAATTTAGTAGACAGATGGTTCATTGTAATTGTCACCCAAGATAAAATCAATACTAGTAACATTTTATTAAGTATGTTTCTTTAGGTGTTACTTGAAGTTACTATATCTTTTTTTTTTTTTTTACCTCCAAGGGTCTCCTTCTATAGAAGTATTAGCAAGAAATTCCTAAGATGCTCAGCCTTTCTGGGTTTCCATCAACCATCTTGGTTTTGAGAAATTTTTGTTTGTGCATTTATAATTTTTTGCTGCAAGAGCCTGTAAAGCATTGCACCAGCGATCAGTAGATTGCTAATGCCATGCAAGTCTCCTGCAGATCTGTCAGAATATCTGCTTGCCCATATGGGATGTACAAGCAAGCGTATATAAGGAGGGCCAATAGGGGGGTACCACCAGGCTTGCTGTAGGGGGCCCAGGCCCCTTTAAAGAACAGGGGGCCCGGACAGCAGCTTCAGGATGTATGGGGCCCCATGATTTCTAACATCAGCCCTGGATATATGGACAGAAGGATTCAGTAAACTGCCACAGTGCTGTGGTAGTTCATTGAGAACTATAAGTCAACAGCTGCCAAGGCTGTCGGGACTTATGCAGGCCATAGATGGGTCGAAAATCGGCCGATTTTTCGGCCGAAAATAAAATCGTCCGATTTTCGGATCGTTAGTGGGCTATTTGGTCGGCCGTTTTTTTTCGGTATTTTGGCGTTTTTTTTTTTTTTCTGCAAAGGTGGAAAAAAATTGGCCGATTTTTTCGATTGGCCGATTTTCGCGGCAATTAGTGGGCAAATCGGCCAATTTTTTGCCGATAAAAAATCTGCGCATGAGCAGTGACCTGCAAGAGGAAGACAAAAAGAAGAAAAAGAAGAAGAGGAAGAGGGTGAAGAAGAGGATGAAGAAGAAGAAGAAGAGGAAGAAGAAGAGGATGAAGAAGAAGAGGATGAGGAAGAGGAAGAAGAAGAAGAGGATGAGGATGAAGAAGAAGAAGAAGAGGATGAGGATGAGGATGAAGAAGAAGAAGAAGAAGAAGAGAGAGGATGAGGATGAAGAAGAAGAAGAAGAAGAAGAAGAAGAAGAAGAAGAGGATGATGAAGAAGAAGAAGAGGATGAGGATGAAGAAGAAGAAGAAGAAGATGAGGATGAAGAAGAGGATGAAGAAGAAGAAGAAGAAGAAGAAGAGGATGAGGATGAAGAAGAAGAAGAAGAAGAGGATGAGGATGAAGAAGAGGATGAGGAAGAAGAAGAAGAGGATGAGGATGAAGAAGAGGATGAGGATGAAGAAGAAGAAGAGGATGAGGATGAAGAAGAAGAAGAAGAAGAAGAAGAGGATGAGGATGAGGAAGAAGAAAAAGAGGATGAGGATGTAGAAGAAGAAGAAGAAGAAGAGGATGAGGATGAAGAGGATGAGGATGATGATGAAGAAGAGGATGAGGAAGAAGAAGAAGAGGAGGAGGATGAGGATGAAGAAGAAGAAGTGGATAAGGATGAGGAAGAAGAAGAAGAGGATAAGGATGAAGAAGAGGATGAGGATGAAGAAGAAGAAGAAGAGGATGATGATGAGAGAAGAAGAAGAGGATGAGGATGATGAAGAAGAAGAGGACGAGGATGAGGAAGAAGAAGAAGAGGATGAGGATGTAGAAGAAGAAGAGGATGAGGATGAAGAAGAAGAGGATGGGGATGAGGAAGAAGAAGAAGAAGAAGAAGAAGAAGAAGGATGAGGAAGAAGAAGAAGAAGAAGAAGAAGAAGAAGAAGAGGAGGAGGAAGAAGAAGAAGAAGAGGATGAGGATGAAGAAGAAGAGGATGAGGATGAAGAAGAGGATGAGGATGAAGATGAAGAAGAAGAGGATGAGGATGATGAAGAAGAAGAAGAAGAGGATGAGGATGAGGATGAAGAAAAAGAAGAGAAGAAGTAGGATGAAAATAAGAAGAATTCCAGTCCAGCAAAAAGTGTCTCTGCAGAGAGCTCCGCTATTTCTGACAGTTCTCTGACAGTTCTTTGACATTTACAGCGGTTGCAACAATGTATCTATTTGTTTCCAAATAAAAACATCTGTATCCTAAATGGAAACAAATAGATACAATGTTTCAACCGCTGTAAATGTGAAGGAACTGTCAGAGAACTGTCAGAAATAGCGGAGCTCTCTGCAGGGACACTTTTTGCCGGCTGTAGAAGGGATGAAAATCGGCCGATTTTTTTTACCATTGATGGTAACGTCGGCCGCTTTGAACGATCGAATTTTCATTTTTTAAAAGAAAAATCTGCCGTTTTTCTCCCCATCTATGGCCTGCATTAGTTTCTCATTCACAGAGGACTGTGAATGAGTGATGCAGCCGGGTGGGAACAGCCCCACACAGCCATGCCTTTTTTAGCGGGGGGGTGGGGAGATCCCCCATTAACTGTCAAAGCAGGGAATCGACTGGGAGCCGCCGGGACAGGTGCTTTTATAACATGTTACATGTTACACCCTGAATAACCTATCTTTTAAAGTATTTTGAAGCTCAAAAACAAAAATGAAATATAATGCAGCTTACCAGTCCTTAGATGTGGCAGCTTCATTCGTTTTCTTTTTTTCATGCAAAGAACATTTTCTGCAAGTACAGAAAAACACCTGTTGGTCCCAAGAGAACTTCATTATCCTCATAATTGTCTGTGTACTGAACTGAAATCCCAAGCAATGTCATCGGCTTTCTCAGCTATCTATTGTGAATGGAAAAAAAACACATCCTCCCTATCTAAAGGAAATTAGAAGAGAAGAAAGTGTTTGTAGTCTAAGTCGGGAGAGAAGCCTAGGGTGTCCATGATGCTTCTGTATAGAAACAGAGAAAAGCGATGACAGAAAAAGACAAAGTGGTCCATCCAGTCTGCCCGCTTTTTTTTTTTTTTTTAAGTACAGTACCGTGCAGCTTTTTTGTCGCCATTTTTACCATGTGCGTTCTGTGGGTTGGTGGTGCAGTGACTGGATTTGGTGCAGTGACTGGATTTGGTGTAGTGAGTGGATTTGAATGTTAGACTCACACGTGAGGATATTCTTTGGCCCTTATAAGCAACATGCGGTTTGAGTCATAGATTCAGTAATTCAATGGATATATGGTGCCAGAAACACCTTTTCTAGGGCTATCTTTGAAGCTTGCGAAGCTGTAAGATCTTGAACCTTGAGTAGTCCTTTGAAAGTGTTTAAGATTGTGGGGTCCACAATTAAACCATTCCCCACGGGCCAGGCCTGGTCGTCTGACACATTGTCGCACATGTGAATATAGGGATGTTACCACCTGGAGGGAATAATGACCCCATATC